CCTTTAATTGGAAAAACTCCCCGTGCCGGCCCCTCGGTCGCGCGGTAAAAAGGAGGTGTGACAATATCTACAAACTAGGTACATTGAATTTTAATATCCCAATTCTCATTTAATTGTAGTTTAATTGGGATTTTCGACATAATTGCATTTTTTGTAGAAGATTTGAAGAAGTTTTAGTTGTTTTTTGATTTGTGAAAACAGAAAATAAAGCATCTACAATTGGAACACAAATAATCTATAATTTATCTACAAAATATCTACAAACTGGTACGTTGAATCTTTATATCCCAATTCCCATTCAATTGTAGCATAATTGGGATTTTTGACATAATTGCATTTTTTTTAAAGATTTGTAAAAGTTTTAGCCGTTTTTAGTAGTAAAAATAGAAAATAAAGCATCTACAATCAGAATATAAATAATCTACAATTTCTGCAATATGTCTTCTTCTTCTTCTTCTTCTTCTTCTTCTTCTTCTTCTTCTTCTTCTTCTTCTTCTTCTTCGAGTTTCAATCTGAAATTCAGTCAAAACCAAGCCTAATCTTCACCAAAACCCCTCAAAATTGAGATATAAACTCCAAACCATATTCCCGATTATTTTCAACAAGACCCAATCCAAACAAATAATAATTTTTGAAAATCCAAATTTGAATTCAAAGCTTTCAAGCTTTTAATGGATGTCAATTGTAGAATTGCTGCTCTCTTTTCATTTACTTTGTATTACTGAAATTTGCGATTGAGAAATAGAGAGATGTAGGGAGAATGTCGACGAACCGAGCTTTTGCAGAACTGATTTCTACAATTTGATTCGAATTTGTTGACGATTTTGTCTTTTTTTGATTTGTGGCTTAAGGAGAAATATCGAAGAATAGAGTTTTTGCAGAAAAGAGACTATGTAATTTGATTCTAAATTGAAGATATAGGATTTGCGTTTCAAATTTGACCTGAAGGTCGCTAAATCAATTAGAATATTCCGTTCCTGATTTATAGCGCACCTAATTAGGAAGGAATCAACTCCTAATAATTAGTATTTAATGAATGATATAATAATTGTAAATAAAATGTGAACATTGCGAGTAAATATAAAACTATGCATATTTTTGGTAATAAGGTTTCACATATGGTATAGGAAGGAAAAAGTCTCTTTTGAAAATAGGTGGTTGGGTGAATACTTTAAATTGCATAGATACACATTGTAAGACAAGTTAGAATGGGCAGTAATGGATAATTAAAAGAGATCGCCTGATTTCCCATTAATAATTGGGAGAAATTCAAAAATAGCCAGATTTACCGCCGGTCATTGAAAAATAACCAAGTTTCAAAAGTCATCGAAATTTAGCCACTTTAAATCTGAGAAAAAATATTGTTCAAAATCCAGAAAAATACGCCTGCAAAATTTACGGGAGTTCCAGCATAAGTATGCTTGAACTCCCGTGAATTTTACGGGAGTTCCAGGATAACTATGCTGGAACTCCCGCAAATTTTACGGGAGTTCAAGCATAATTATGCTGGAACTTTCGTAAATTTTATTGGAGTTTGTGTTCTTAGCCACAGAGCACGCCTTTCTGCACATTAAAGCTAACGATTAGCACTAGTCAACACACCAGTATAATATAATGGAGTTTGGAGCACTGGTGCTCTAGTCTTCCGTAAATTTTACGGGAGTTCCAGCAAGTATAATTGTCCAGTATAATATACTGGAGTTTGGAGCACTGGTGCTCTAGTCTTCCGTAAATTTTACGGGAGTTCCAGCAAGTATAATTGTCCAGTATAATATACTGGAGTTTGGAGCACTGGTGCTCCAGTCTCCCGTATAATTTACAGGAGTTGGCAATTATATCGGTTCAGTATAATATGCTGGAGTTCGTACATAAATGCATCGGAACTCCCATAGATTATACTGGACCGGTCCCTGTGTAGTAAATAGTGGCTATTTTTTATTGACTTGGTAAAAGATGACTATTTTTCGATAGCCAGCCGTAAAAGTGCTTACGCCATGCTATTTCGCCATAATAATTGCTACATGGTGTCATTTCCATGCAGGCGTTTAGTAAAAAGGGCCATTAGGGCCTGGAAGCCCAGCCCATACTAAACTATCCAAAACATAATGTCATCAACTATTTGGAATTCCAAATACGCCCCAAAATACACTATTATGTCAATTTTAATCCCTTGAAGTTTGTTTCCCAAGGCCATTGCAATTTGATGAAGAAATGGGTCGAGAAGATTACAGCAGCGAAAGGAGGTCTTCAACTGGGGCAAATCTAAACTCAGTATTCTATGCATCAGTATATCATCCAATTCAAGCTGGAAGCATTGATGGAACTGACATTCTTCCTCACGATAACGCCGTTTACAGAGCTCTTCTCTGCTCTAATGCCGGCTTATGTTAGTATTATACTCATTCTCGCGTAAAAATCCTTCTTTTTTTCCCCCTGATAGTTTCCATTATTTACTTCATTTGCCATTGTTGCTTTCAGATGACCCGTTTGGTGACCCGAAGGCTATTGGTGACCCGTATTGTACGCTCTTTGTTGGTCATTTGTCTCATTTTACCACTGAACATACCCTTCGTCAGGTTTGCTTTTGTAGGTTTTTTTCATTATAAGTTTGGGTATATAAAAGTTATATTTTGTTTTGGATTTAAGTTATATATATGGACACTGTAATGTACTTTTTACACCATCACTGAACATTCCCTTCGCCAGGTTGGCTTTTCTGGGTTTTTTTCTCAATATAAGTTGGGTGTATAGGTTATATTTTTTTTAAAATTTAAGTTATATACACGGGCAATACACTGTGGTGAAATTTACACCGCCATCAGTGTAATTTAACCTGTTATAGCGGGTTATTTACCATTTATCCTAGGTTACACTCACGGGCGGACGGAGAGTAGAACTTACGGGTTCGGCCGAACCCAGTAGCTTTGGTTCAAACCATGTAAAGAAATCCATTGAACATGTATAAATTATTAATTTAGAACCCAGTAACCTGAAAGATTAAGAATTCCGAACCCATAAGTTTCAAATCCTGGCTCCGTCTCTGGTTACACTTGTGCCATTCTTTTGGTCTTGCTGTCTGCTTATTGCGTAATTGGTGTTAAAGTTTATATCTTTTTGATAAGCTTATAACACTTTATCTTATACTATAGGAAATTGCTCGAGCTTTGTTTATTTAAAATTTTGGTCCGTTCGTACCCTTTGATGTTAGCAAATTGTGATCTTGCGATTAATGAAGCTCTAGCGTAAAATGGGTGAACTTCAAGTGTCAAATTCTTCGAGAAAATTTGGTCCAAATTTACCGTTTAACTTTTGGTTGTGGTTTAAAAATACCCTCGGGTTGGAGCTACAACATTTGGGGTCAATGGAGAAACAAGACTTTTCCTAACGGCGGGGTGATATTTGACCTAAAGTCTAACAGAGGGCGAAGTTGCTCAATTTAGAATACTACATGGTAAATTTGACCATTTTCATATTTCTTGTGTCTTTCTTTGTTACTCTTGGGCTGTTCTATTGTTCTTGTTGTTTGCTTATTGCCTAATTGGTGTTATTGGTTCAATTATTTGTTATTTATTGAATTTGGGTTGCGTTTATTAACAGGAAATGAACAAATATGGAAGGGTGAAGAACGTAAGAATTGTTAGACACATTGGTACTAGCTATTTCTTTCAAAATTACAGCTTGCTTACGTTGCCTTTCGTGTATCCTTTTGTAGAGGTTTAATGCATATTTGAAATCATAGAAATTGTGCTGATATGTACTACCACTTACTGTTAAAACAAAAGATATTTGCTTTTTTTTTTGAATTGGTAACTTTTGTATATATATTGATAATAATAACATCAGTACATAGGAACCAAATTTACATGAAGAGGATAAGTAGATGTTCTAATTTGAAACCTAGCAAGATCCTAGTATGCGTATGATTGTCAATGTATCTTCTGTGTAAATCTATTTACACCAAAAACAAAAAAGAAGAATACAATTGAGTTTGATCTTCTGTATTGGATTGCTTCTGTCTTCAAAACATCTAGCGTTCCTTTCCCTCCAAACTCTCCACCAGATACAAGCCGGGGCAGTCCTCCATCTATCTCTATTAGTTGCTTCAGCTCCAGCTTCTTCCCAGCTATAAAGAACATCTTTAATTCAATATGGCATTGACAATGCAATACCCCTAAGACAAATAAAGATTTTCCATAGTTGGTCTGTAATCTTGCAATGTAGAAATAGATGGCTGACAGTTTCAGCATTTTCCCCACACAGAAAACATCTTGAACACAGTGAAATTCCCCTTTTTATGAGATTATCTTGGGTTAATACCGCCTCCTTTGCTAGTAGCCAAGTGAAGCATGCTACCTTATATGAAATCTTTGTTCTCCATATATGTTTCCAAGGCTATGCGTCTACCTGTTGATTACTATGATTCAAAATCTTATATGCAGCCTTCACCTGATATACCCCTCTGTTGTGCCTCTGCCACCAAAGTGAATCAAACCCTTCATGTAATTCTTTAAATGCTTCCAGCTCTTTGTAAAGATCAGCTAATCTTGTTATCTCCCAGTCATTCAACTGTCTTCTGAGAGCAATTTCCCATCCTTGATGCCTCCTCATATCACCTACTGTCCTATACTGGTTTTGTGCTAAACCAAACATATCCTATACTGGTTTTGTGCTAAACCAAACGTATCTTTCCTTTAAGCTTCCGTGTCCCAACCAGTTATCATTCCAGAATGATGTGTTCCTTCCGTTGTTCACTCTAATGGAAGAGTGATTCTTCATTATAGGCCAAAGTTCTCTGATGGATTTCCCCACACTTACACCATATGCTGTTCTGACTTCTTTTGACACCCAGTTGTTTTCCTCACCATACTTAGCTTTGATCACTTTGCCCCATAGAGATTGGGGTTCTTGAGCGTACTTCCATAACCATTTCATTCTAAGAGCCTTGCTTTAATTCTTCAAATTCCTTATTCCTAAACCACCTTGCTTTTTAGCCAGTGTGAGTGTCTTTCATTTGACTAAATGGAAGACCCTTTTCTCCTTATTGCTACCAAGAGGCATCCCAAGGTAAACAGTTGGTAGAGACCCAACTTCTCCTCCCAATATCTGTGTTAGTTGCTTCATGTTGTTACTTCATTAATGGGGAAAATATTTCACTTGCACACATCTTCAGACAACTCAGAACTTCTTGTTCCTCAAAGTTGCTCTGTAAAGACTACCGCTCTGTTTCAGAAATGCTTGGACTAGTTTCAAAATTGACTGTTGGTCTCCACTCTTCATGTTCTGTGTATAACCCCTTGTAGAAATCAATGATCTCGTTCTCTATTCTGTTGGGATCCTCAGCTACTTCATGTTGAATCAGTAGTTGATCAATGTTGTTGTTTCTCTTGTGTGCATTGGCAGTGCGATGGAAAAATTTTGTATTCCTGTCCCCTTCTTTGAGCCACAGAGCTCTTGATTTCTGTCTCCATGCACTTTCTTTGTTCTTGAGTTGTTCCTCAATCTCCATTGGAGTAGCTGCTTTCCTCACTGATTCCTCCTCTGTCAGCGCTCTTAGTTGTTGTGTTGCCTCAAAACCTGCGAGTTGACACAGTAATTGTGATTTATGCAATCCTAAATTACCTTCACAACTTCTGCTCCATTCTTTTAGCTTGCCCTTGAGAGCTTTTAACTTGCAAGCTAAAATATAATCTGGTCTTCCTGTAAATTCAAAAGATGTCCACAATTCTCTAATTCTGTCATCAAAACCTTCAACATTCAGCCACCAGTTTTCAAACTTAAAGTATGATTTAGCTTTTTCCGAAGCACCACAGTATAGAGCCACAGGTGAATGGTCAGAAATCAGCCTTTGTTGGATATTTTGCTTGATGTTTCTGAAGCTTTCATCCCATTCTTCTGAAATGAGAAATCTATCAATTCTTGAAGCTATGATTGTCCCCTTTGAACCAAGTATAGTAGCCTCCTTCAAGTCGGAGATCTATCAACTCCAAATCTTCTATAAAATTCGAAAATTCCACCATCGCTCTGGACCTCCTTGAACATTCCCATTTTTCAGAAGGGTATCTTGTAACGTTAAAATCACCACAAAACCGCCCAAGGACCCTCCATCAATCCCCTCACAGCACCAATTTCTCTCCATACTATTTTCCTTTCTATTCTGCAATTTGGGGCATACACTCCTGTTATGTGACATTGAAACTGTAAAAGAGCCTCGAACTTGCAAGTCAAAGTGTATGCACCAGTCTGTAATGTCTCCCCTTTCCATACTCTGCAATCCCATAATAACAGGATCCCCTCTCTCGTGCCGCTAGCTTCTAAATTTGCATACGCACCCATCTTCCTCCCCATATTTGATTGACTATTTCCCTGATATCCGCCTCCACTTTTGTCTCTTGCATGCATATAATGTTTGCCCTTCAGTTCTGCACTTGACTTTTAATAATCTCCCTTTTCTTCTTGTCGTTTAAACCCCTTACATTCCAAGAAATTATTTTGATCTTCATATTGGAATGATTGATAGCTCCCTTCCCTTGCTCCTTTTCCCGTCACTCTTGAATTTGACGTCGAACGAAGTTAATCCTTTTAATTCCAGTGCTCCTTTGAACCTTTGTTTCTTCATCTCCAACGTTGTCTCCCCCCTTCTAACTTGTCTGCAACTGTTAATTTACATTAAAAGTTCCGGTGCTTCTTCTTCATGGCCTTGAAAATCTACTCCGAACATTTTTCCCAATTTGATCATATTTTGATGGACCCATAGTGTTGCATCCATGTCTTTATCCATTAATGGATTGTGTTGTTGAACAGCTATAGGAGTCACCTCCTTGATTTCCCAATCTTGGATAGAGATGAAATTCTCTAGTTGTTCCTCCAAAGCACTGCCAGCTTGATCTTCGCCCATATTTGTGTTTATGATCTGCTCCCTTTCATTCTGTTCCTTTCTTGCTGTCTCTGCTCCATCTTCCGGCTGACTGCAATTGTAAGGTATTTCCCTTGGCGTACTTTCAAGGTTTGCGTTTGAGATTTGATCCACTGGACTGGACTTTTTTGTCTTCAAGAAAGAAAGGCCTCCCATTTTCTCAATATTAGGCTTCAGCCTAATTTCATCCGAGAACTCACACGAGAGGTCATTATAAATGACGTGTGCAGCCAAATCATAGTCAAAGGATTTCAGCTCGTTGTTTCTCACTTTAATGCTCTGATTTATCGAACTCGAACCATGTGTAAGTTGCACACATGCCTTTCCTTTAACAGTATTTTGCAAAATGGTGCATCCCAGTTGATTGTTCATGTATCTCTCTGGTTTAAAGCATTGTTCTTTTTCTGGCATATTCAGCTCAAATCTTGCCTGTCTTTCAGCCCAGATTGGGATGAAAAATTTGATCCTATCTCTTTCAATCCCAACCTCATTAGGAATCTTTCTGCCATCACCAACAATTTTAATTCTGGTCCACTTAAGATGATTTTTGAGTTCGGTTTCTTCTTCAGTAGCTATCCATCCCCCATAGATATCTCCTATTTCTTTGAAGATCTTTTGCGACCATAGATGTAAAGGAATTCCCACGACTCTAATCCAGCATGTTTCCACCATTTGTGAGTTTGGAATGCATCCAGCAGTATGATTCCACCATTCCAGATGAAGCTTGAACCTTTTCCATTTTCAGTCTCCTTGCAAAATCTGCTCCGCCATGTATTTGTTTGGAAATTCAAAAAGAAACATGTTTCCAGTCATTTCATACATGTTGACTCCATATGCTTTGTTCCATGAAGCACTAGCCCATCGCCTTATGTCTGCTAAAGTGGGTCTCTCATTGATTTCTTCTCCGAAAAACCCGATAATGCATCTTTTTAGTAGACCATCGTCCTCGCTTCCTGTCGGTTCCACAACAGATATATCTCCATTGTTTATACTGACCTTTGCCTCTCGAAGGGTACTGGATTGCCATTTACTCTCCTTAATTGCTTTGGCATAAGGATAGTTATCTTCAGTGATTCTTGGTGGGACTGTGGGATTCATTTTTGGGGTCTGATATATGAATCTTTCTATCTTAGCTGCTATGTCTTTCCGGCCTGCATTCACAGCTAACTCTGGGATTATAATAACTGACCTCCCTTCTCACTTCAGTGACAGAATACTCATGTATCTTCCATGTACGTTGAACTTCCTAGTACTGAAATGTTCTATCATCTGGTCTTTGTACTTCCATCGCTTTACTAAATTCATTTGATCTGTCGATGCTTCTTTAAGTACATAGCAAACCCATTCCATTGTCTTTCTACCCATGGATGAACGTCTCATCATGTTGCGGCTTCTCTCCCCCCATTTGAACCAAATGTCTTTGTTGGAATTCCATCTGGTGATGTCAAAAGATTTGAATCCAGCGTTGAAGTATATCCTGTTGTCTCCCATGTTGAAAACTAGAACCAGCTGCTCAGATTAGGACTTATAGAAAGTGTTTGGTAGCTGAAGCTGAACAGGTAAGAAAAAAACTAAAATCTGGGCAGAAAGTATGTGCCCTGCCTCCCGGAAAAAAACAAAGTTGTCGGAAATCAGAGAAAACAAGATGGATGTGGTCGGAAAAGCCTAGTGAGAAGGCTGCCCCAAAAAAAAAAATTCAAAATAAAACTCGGAACAGTCTCACGCGCCGGCATGTGGCGAACAGGGTCGCCGGAAGTGCCGCGCGTGGCGGTGCGTGTCTGCGTGAGAGGTAATCTGCCGGAAAACTTTGCAGTGGTCTGGTCGGATTTCGTTGCTGAAGCTGATGATGTTCATGAAATCTCAAGAAAACATGTTCACAGGCTCCTCGGGGAGTGTGCCTGAGAGCATCAGAAAGTAGAGAGAGAAACTTTATTTTTTAGGAATAGAGATTTTCAAGTAATATATTTGCTTTTTGAAGAATTGAGTTAAAATTTCTCTCATATGGTGTTGCTTTTCCAGTAACGGGTGCTTCACGTGGTTATGCATTTGTTGAATTTGAATCAGATAGGGAGATGCGACGAGCATATAAGGTAATTTGTTCTCTTTAATAGTGCTTCTGATTTTGTGAATTTTTAGGATGCTAGCAAAACTTTTTTCTACTTAATGCACATACCCGCACCAGAAGATGGGGTGACGTTCATCCATTGTTCTAGTGCACTATTTAGGGGATACATGGGAAAATGGAAAGTAGAGTAACTGTACCAGAAAAACTTATAGAGAAACGCTAACTATCAAAATCAAGAATCAAGAAAATATATAATACTAGCTTTTAGTTCAGATATGAGGATGTGTAAATAGTTACAACAACAACAACTACCCAGTATATTCCCACAAAGTGGGGTCTGGGGAGGGTAATATGTAAACAGGCCTTACCCCTACCCGAAAGGGCAGAGAGGCTGTTTCCAATCGACCCTCGGCTCAGGGAAGTAAAGGAAAAGCAAAAGCAAAAACAAAAAAGCATTAGTAACTCTAGCAGAAATAGCGTGAATAATTAATTAAACATAAGAACCATAAATAGAAAGGCATGCAGTAATAATAAACAGTAACTGCCATAAATAACTACCATAAGGGGGACACACTCCAATACACAAACCACCTAAGGATATCCTAGCTAAGCCTTACCCAACCCTAGGAAAGGAGTTAGTGACACCAAATAATTATGGGAAAACCCTTCTTTAATGACCTATACTAGATTTTTAAACAAGCAGATCTCTACGACCTTTTTTAGTTGCAGAAATACTGAAAGGGTGTGACCTGCAAAACTTAGGTGCCGATGAAAAGTGATTTTGCAAGATCATGCTGGTTAATGGCTGTTGAATCTTCAATATTTTAATAGCCCATTGTATCCATGATCCTGCGAAAGAGTTTTCTAGGCTCAAAACTGATTATTCCAGACTAAACTTATTTTTGTGAATGCAATGAATTAACGCTTGTTTAAATACCTACAGTTTATATATGTAATAGGAATCGTTGTCCTTAAAACAAAGAAGCAATTAAATTTGTCTAGGTTCTGTTTCTCATTCTACCAACTGAAGCAAACACATGGCATAATTTTATTCATTTTGTTGTTCACATACTGCAGGATGCTCACCATAAGTTTATTGATGATTCTGAAATTATAGTTGACTATAACAGGCAGCGATTGATGCCAGGCTGGATTCCGAGAAGGCTAGGTTAGTGACATTAGTCTGATGTCCTTCTTCTCGAAGCTTTAATTTGCTATGTGAACCTACCATATTAAAGCCATTCTCTTGCAGGAGGCGGTCTTGGCGGTAAGAAGGAATCAGGACAGCTTCGTTTTGGAGGTCGTGAAAGACCATTTCGTGCTCCACTGTAAGTATTCCTGCTTCATTTTCAGTAATAAAAGAGAATTGGAGGATTGTCTCACATTTTTACACGCTTTGGAGTCGTCCTTGCATTTTTCTCATTTATTTTCTTTTTGAGTTGTGAAGATAAGCATGTTTACGGTGTTAATTTAGTTCAATGAGCATTATACAGTTACTAGGTCAAGGTTTTGATTACTAGGATGCGAGTAACGAGTATGCTTGTGCCTTACCTCTTATATTTGAGGGCAAGGAATTTGTGGAGCTCAGCCGATGAGATATTAGTCCCAAATAAATAGTAGCCCCTTTTAAATGTTACAGAAGGTAGGATAAATTACATTCTGCCTAATCAGATTCTCTATCTTTCTAATGAACAGCTTCTTAACGATTGATTATTACTGGATACTGGACTAGATTAGGCAGGATAAATTTATCTCCTGCTGGTAGCTTTTTATGTGTCGAACTGGATTAGTATTCTCTTCCATTACCAGATCAAATTATCGTAGATTTGGTCGGGGAGGGGCGAGAAAGGGAAGAGGATTACAATCTCGCCTGGTTAGCCTACAAAAATGAAAGTTTTGCTCCTCATATACAAATAGAAAGACTGAAGAAGGGGTCGGTCCTTCATCTTATACTCTGTCTTCCTCGTTTTTCCTGTCGCTAATAACCTCCAACTCCTCTCCTGGAACTCTTTATCCGGCCGAAAGACTGCAATGGCTATGAAATCAAGTGTTAGTTTCATTACTTTTTTTTTCTTTCCCATTTTTGGCATTATTATTTGGTTGAAATTATCTTCCAGTTGGACATGGTGCTTAGGTCTCCCGGAAATAGCCTCTCTATCCCTTTGGGATGGGGTAAGGTCTGCGTACACTCTACCCTCCTCAAACCCCACTAGTTGGATTCTACTGGGTTGTTGTTGTTGGTGGTGATGGTGGTGGTGGTGGACATGGTGATTAGGATGATAAATCGATGGTTGAAACTTTCTTAGTTTTTACCCTTAAGAATAAATTGCGTGAAGGGTATTTTGAGAGGAAAATTTTTAATCGGATTAGTTAAATGTAGGATTGGACTAGCATGAGGTATGCCACGTTTAATTTCACCTACCAAATGCTAGACTATTTGAGTATTCCTTCAGTAATATACTGTATGGAAGGTTATTTTCCCCTTAAATTTGCATAACCTAGCGGCTCCGACTAATTTGGTATTAAGGTGCAGTTGATTGATTGATTGGACATATTATTGGCTAATCTTGACTGACTGATGAAAGAAACAAAACAGAATCTTTGTTAGACTCATAAGTTGCCTTCTGTGCCATTTGAAATTTAACAGAACAGAAACTAATCCGTCAGTTTAGTCGTTTCAGTGCAGTTTTGAGCTCAACTTGAAATATCACATTGTCGGGAATGCTTTCTCTACCAGTTGAAGCCTCTTCAATTCAAAGTTAATATGCATCTAGGAGTTCTGATGACATAATTAGAAAAACTAGTTTCTGGACACGTGCATTGCACGTGTATCCCATACTAATATAATACAAACAATATTAAAAATATGTGTGTGATAAAAAAAACAATCTCTGGCTTAATTAATTGTTAAATGTAAGAGGATCAGATATCATTTAGACAACTAATATTAGTTACGTAAATATGATTGTCATACCAAATTCAACTTGGTAATTTTCTTGCTTTTTTATTATAGTTTGACAATATATAATTTACATTTGAATATGAGCAACCCCATCTATAGTTGCAAATACTTCAAGTCTTGAAGTTTCTGTTTTGTCTTTAAGAAATTATAGCATTTTTTACTTTTACAGTTGCATATATATATATCAAGAAGCTATTGACGAATGAAAGTTGTAATTTGTAAAAGCTGTATGGAAATTCGATCAAAATAGGTTTTGATATCGTTGTTGCACGTGCAAGGACCCTTTGTCTGATTCAAGATTATGATTCCTTTCATCTGTAAATTTGGCAAAAGAAATGAATTATATAATTTATGTAATGTATAAAAGGATTGTTACACAAATAACCGACCAGATTCAATGTTTACTTTTTCTAGCTGGTATACATAGATTACACATTAATTATACACAATTATACATATTTTATAAACTAATTATTCATATAGTATACATCGATTGGCTATTTTTAGTTTAAGAGATTGGGTAGGTAGCTATTTGGGTTAATTCTTCTTGTATAAATATACCACAATAACCTTGTGTCACATCTAACATCCATTACACATCATGTAGCCTAATACTTTATTTGTTACTAAACTTGCATAGTAACAAAAAGGGGTTAAAATAGACCAACTAATAAGTAGCATAATACATTTTTTGAATTGGGTAGCTTAGTCGCTAATCAAAATGAATCACTAACCATTTTTTATATGAATTCTCGAAAAAGAAAAAGACAAAAAAAATTAATGCTTCTAAACTTTCAAGTGAAATATGCAACCAAAGAAAGGAGCCAAAAGAGGGAGAAAATTATTTAAAAAAAAAAAAGAAATAGTAAAGAAAGAAAGAAATAAAGAAAAGGAAGCTAAAATATTAATTAGCTAATAGATTATTCTACTAAAATGGGCCATCTAGGCAAATTATAATAATTTAGCAAAAACGTATTTGTTATGCACCTTTATAGAGTCACCAAGTGAAATAAAGAATCCAAACAGACTCTACCAAAATTTAACTGCCACAAAAGAAGAAATAAAGAAACGTTTCTGAAAAAGCAATAATTAAAAATAGTATAAATGAACTTTAAAAATATAAAATGTTTAAAACTAAAGACCTTAAAAGTTGAATCAATAGAATTTAAATCATACATTTGCCTCTGGATACAATGAATGAGATTAATTTTATGTTATTAATGAGGTATATACAATCATGTGATATAATCATATTTCATCTAATACTTTCTTATAATTGAAAGTAAAATGTAAGCATATATATGATTTGAACGCCAAGTATCCAATATAATCATCTTAGTCGTGGGATCACATATGCATATGAAACCATCATCACTTAGTTCCAAGAGTGGGAAAAGAAGTTAAAGTATAAAAATGTGCATGAACAATAATGTATTGTTTTGATACTTATAGGCGATAACGAAAGGGAAAATTAAATTGGCCTATCAAATCTGCAATTTTAATTCTTTCCTTTATGTTTCTTCTAACAACGATGATCTTATGTATATATCATTGATTTATAAATTCATTTAAGTAAGCTAATTATTGATCGCATCCGAGCTGTAAATTGCGACTAATTTTATATCTAGTAGTGGAGCGGGAAAAGGAAAAAGGAGTACTCGCAAGATCCAATAATGCTATTCTTCTCAAAAAGCTGCATGGATTTAAGTGAAATGAGTACAATAATTTCGTGAATTCAAATGGAGTGTTTGGTGCTATTACCAAATATCATGAAGATGCGATTTTCATTTTAGAATAGAAGACATTATAAGAGAAACTGAAATTTTTTTGTAATTTCCTAAAAATAACAAACAATAGTTGCCAAAATAATAAAAGTTTAGAGAAAATTAATAAATCAAAGACTTTTTCTACTGTTCTAATTCAATTAAGCTCTAATACCTCTTTTTGAATAACCACCTTGAGCATTCCTCCAAAGGTTGACTACCTGTTAATTCCTGAATGAAAATGAGCCTTTAGAAAGGATTGGTTAATTAAACAACGGTGAAGTTGAAAAAAGAAATTAAACAAAAATAAAGAAAGAAGAATTAAATTTTGAAATTTGATGCAGAGTTTCTCAAATATTTAAATGTGGCGCTATGAGATCCTAAAGGCCAAAGATTGAGGAATTTACTTGATTGTCAATTAATATGCGGTAACTGGTGACTTTTAGAAACTGATTAGATGGATTATTAATAAAGAAAACCAAAAGTTATTAACGGATAGCTAGGAGGTGAAAATGCAATGTGATAAGAGATTATTTATAACAACATTAACTGTAGCAATAATATAGTAACATTTACTATGTAATAAAACAGATCATTTGACGTAAGGTAATTTGACTTTTCACCCTAAAAGGCTTCCTACTTATAGTATAATATATGATATGATGGAATAACCATGTTGCTGTGCATCCACCTAGTACTCAAGACATGAGCAACTTCAACTAGAACCAAGCTATGTTTGGTGCTGTTTGGTGCTTGAGATCATTCAGTTACGCATCTACACCGCGACCTTCGAGACCAACTAATATCTTGAGCTTTACTCTGATCTGCTTATCGCTGTGAGGAGAAAATAAGCTGATAGTTCCAAAAGGAAAGTTTTCCAGAAGTTTCTGAAGACATGTTATATCAAATAATGCTGATTCAGAGACCAACTCTGAGTTGTTTTCAAACTTATCTGCAAATAGCTCTACCTGGAAGCCCCGATATCTCCATCTATCTGCTCTCCATCATCAAGCTCATCTCCTGCAATATAGATCCAGTGTGATTGTGTGATTCTGTAATTGTGCTCTTTGGACGTTCTAGAGTTGAGAGATCTCGCCCTCATATTAACCTATCTCCTTTAATTCTTATTCCCTTGTCCGTTGTCCCCTTAATTTGGTGCAGTGTGCACCAGATCTGAAGTAACCAAAGCTAGCATTAATCCCCATGTGTCTCTCAGTTTGTTTTCTGTCAATCTTTTCTTTTGTTTTTGTTTCATTTTTTTATTGATAGGATCCTTTCCTGGCTTTTCATCTATGGTTGAATACTGGTATTCTTTTGTGTGAAGAATGTGTTGTGCTTAAAAAGAAGAAAACAAATTTTATTGAGATGAGCAAAAAATATGGAAACATTCTACACATCTGAACCGAGCCTTAAACCTTAGTTTTCCGCAGGGCATCGTGTTGTAAACATTCTCCTATCACTCTCTTCCATGCTACTTTCTTTATATGTATTTTACACTAACTTCAGAATGCTCCTGGAACAGTCGACAAATTCCGTTGGATGATCTAAAGAGGCTGGGTATACCACCTCCTCCCGAGGGAAGATATATGTCACGGTTTCAGGTAATCCATTTCTTGCACATATTGTTTTGAGAAGAATATATGTGACCTTTTGAAATCTGTATCGCTCGTGTTCGATTTACAGTAACTGAAACAGTTTTTGATAGTGCATCAATTAGCTAACTTGTGCAGCTCATAATATTTTAAAACTTGTATAAAGGTCTTATTAAAGTTTGCTCTCCTATAGTTCTGCTCTTACCATTTACTTAAGATCTCTGTCACTTGACTTTGCACCAGTTATCCATGGCTCTCAAGTTCTGTGAATAAAATGATGTGATACATACAAGTGTTCTTTAAACCTCAGGAGAAAGTGAAAAATGAGAAGTGGAGTTCTGGATAATGCTGGGATACAGGATGTAAAAATGAAAATTATCCTTCTTTTAGTGATGCTGATGACTTGAATTAAATCGTGTAGGTTCCATCGCCACCCAGACGAGAAAGGAGCATGGAGGATGCCAGAGACTCTTCTCACAAGCACGCTAAAGGAAACGAGCATTCTCATCGATTGGAGAGATCTCCAAGTCGAGAGTACCCATCTGGAAGACGCGAGAGGTCCATGGACAAGGAAGATTTCTCTCACAGGCAGAGAACACATGGGAGGATGCGACATGATTTAAGGTCCCCCAGTCATGATCATTCATCCGATAGGAGTTCAATGGACAGAAGCAGACATTCCCGCAAGCGCCAAAAAAGTAGCAGAGATAGGCATGACATGAGATCCCCCAGTCTTGATCATTCATCTGATGAAACTTCAACGTACAGAGAAGAACGTCGTCGAGCACGTAGTGCACGGTCTCATGGAGATGACAGGTGGTCACCAAGCAGGGATGATTCTTAAAATGGAGTAAAAGATTAATCAAACATGCAAGGGATACAGTAGCTGTAATTATCAGGTCTTTATATTTGCTTGTATAATAGCTTTGTTAGTTCATATCTCCTGCTGCTGCCTGTTAATTACATGATTTTCCTGATGAGTGCTATTGTAATCTTTCTTTATTTGTTGGTTCCCTCGCTTGTAACAACAACAACCCAGTAGAATCCCACTAGTGGGGTTTGGGGAGGGTAGAGTGTACGCAGACCTTACACCTATTTCGGTGGTAGGGACAGAGGCGGAGCCAGAATTTGAAACTTATGGGTTCAAAATTTTAAATCTTTGAAGTTACTGGGTTCTAAACTAATAATTTATACATATTCAATGAATTTCTTAAGACAAATACATGGTTTGCACTAAAGCTACTGGGTTTGGCCGAACCCACGTGCTCTATTCTCCCTCCGCCTCTGGGTAGGGAGGCTGTTTCCGGGGGATCCTCAGCTCAATAGGCGTGACAATAATATCAGACAACAACCCAGTATAATCCCTTGCTTATAACTTGCTTGATTTTCACTAAACAAAAAGATGTAAAAGAAGTGACTTGTATTAACAATGATGAATGTTAATGATCCTACAAAAATGTCAAGAAAGGAAAAGGAAATACTTAGAAAGTGCAAAAGATTCATTTCATTCATATTTAGTTTGGCTTTTTTTTGACTTGTAACTAAGATTTCTATCTCGTCTTATTGTCATTGATTCTTGTAGTTTTTCCCTCGAGTTAGTCGGGATGTCAAAACGAACAAGTAGAGGTGTCTATCAAGTTATTCTGCCTTATTTTAAAGTTGAAGCCCCTTTCCAATTTTTTTTGCTTCCCCCTCAAAGACCCTATAAGACATTATGAGGCAGGATTACTTTGGTGGCAGACTATTTATTCATCCTTTATTATTTATGATATTTGATTAGCCAACAAAAGTTTCAGATACATCAGCTGCTTAAGCAATAAAAGGGAAGGGTATATAATGTATCCCATGTTTCAAGATTTAAAAAAAAAAATTATTTTCTTTTTAAATTTCGTGCCAAATCAAATGGTGACACTTAAATTGGAACGGCGGAAGTATTTGATGTTCACCAATTTTTGAGGTGTTCAACTGTTTTAAATCTCGAATTACTAGTTTGAGCCTTGACCATGATTTTCATAACTATTTTGAATTTTAAGTTCGATTCTCGACATATATTTGTATTCCTTTACTACTATCTCAAACCTCTAAGAAGGTATTATCGTCGTTTCAATTTAGATGACACTTTCCTTATTAGTCAGTTTCAAAAAGAATGACAAGTTTCTATATTTGGAAACAATTTAACTTTAAACTTTTCAATCTACCCATTTTATACTTAATGAGAAGCTTTTATAGTCACACAAATATTATGGCCCCGCTAAACTTTTGCCTTTTAAGCTTTTAGCATCACATATTTCAAAAGTCTTTTTCTTTTTCTTAAAACAAGATCCCCTATGAAATATAAAAGATCATTCATACATAGTATAGTCCACGAGAACCCACTTAAAATCTTTACTGAACTATAACTGGCTATCATATTAGCAAATAAACGTATTCCTGAGCTTAATGCTCGAAAACAATAAGGGGTTAGCTCAAGGAGTACTAAAAAAGATGCTAATGGCAGTGGGACTCTTGCAGGTAATAAGAAGCTTAAAAANCGTGGTTGTTGCCAACGGGGATCCCCCATTCCGAAAGGTTACTAGGCCGGCCGTTAGGTCCAAAGTTGTATACCACTGCTATGGTGCCGATAGATTCACTACTTCAGCGCCGTTATCGGACATTGCAGGCTGAGCATCTATTTCTCGTATATCGTTCCACACCGAGAAGAGGGATGTGTACCTCCAGCAACAACAAGAATGGAACCATAGGCTCCTATGCTAGGAGCATTTCGGGGTATAGGTCTAACCACCTGAACTCCTTGTTTCTGGTATGCTATAGTTATTAAAGTCTCTCGACGGCGGGAATGGGAGATTACCGGCAAGCCAATTTTGTGTCAAGTCAAACAATATAATCTAAATTGAAACGGAATGAGTAATATAAAACAAAAGATTAAAGACACCTAATGAACACAATGATCAAACAAATCTTATTCAAATTCAGTAGAGGAATGTAACTTATAATATTTATATCCAAGAATTTATTCTCTCTGCTTATCACTTCTCATTTCTGATTCTGGCTAATATTGCTTAAACAAAAAGTACAAAATCAAAGTATTTTTTACGAGAAAATTCAAGATTTGGTTGCATGGCACCAAGCAATCGAATAACAAGATGAAGAGTAGACTCTTTTCTTATGGAGTAATCCTCCACAGTGCCATTCTCCAGTTGCTTGCCACCAAATATCAGCCTCTGATGATCTCTTTTGATCCCTATTTTTTCATAGATCTTGCCTTTCAAATTATCAATGGTGTCGAATGTTTCTACGTCTAGGGTTATCGTCGTGCCTGTGAGCGTTTTCACGAATATCTGCATTGTGCCTAAGTAAAAGAAAAATGAACCATCATGATCAGTGTGTAGTAAGGTCAGTGGCAAGCCAGGAATTTATTCGAGGGTGGTCAAACTTGAAAGAAGTAAAAATAATTCCCCGACAAAGCGTCTTCAATATATGTTATATACCAGCTTTAAAACCTAATATTTTACTTGTCAGGAAAAAAAAAAGGACGAATTGTCACCATAACGACACTATTGTGATTTTTATTATGACAGAACAAGTATTGTTCAATTTTGTCGCTTGATGTTTATTAGCTACTTTCAGTTAGTTAAGCCAAGTATGCATATATATTTATATATAAGTATTGAGGACTTGGATCTTGAACAAAATTTCTTGGTTTGACCTTTTTTTTATTTTATTTTTTTATCTTTCTTTATTTTTACCTAATCTTAAAGGAAGGGGGAGGGGAAAGAGAGGGGAGAATATTACATATGGGATTCGATCCATCACACCATGTGAGCTATACTCTTTAATCCAATGTGTAAATATCTTTCAATATATATAGTAACACTTGATGTCTAAATTACTTTTTTAATTTATACTTTTTGGACTTACTACCACCTGTGACTTAATATTACGAATTAATACACACAAATGATGTAGAAATGATCTTGCGTGTATAAAATATGAACCTCCTTTTAAATATATTATTTTCTCCGTTTCAAATTAAATGAGATACTTTTCTTTTTAGTTTGTTCCAAAATAAATCACACATATCTAAATTTTGAAATAATTCAACTTTAAACTCTTTATTTTACCCTTAATTAGAAGCTTTTAAAACCACAAAAATATCATAGCCCCATAAAGCATTTACCCCTTAAGCTTTTAAGATCACAAGTTTCAAAAGTCATCTTCTTTTTTCTTAAAATCTGTGCCGAGTAAAAATACCTCATCTAAATTAAAACGGAGGGAGTAAGTATTATAATATTAAGCCGGAGTCTTGGAGCAAAGATAAAACTGTCTACGTATGACTTATAGGTCACAGGTTCAAGTCGTGAAAACAATCACTAATGCTTGCGCCTTTCCCCGGGCCCTGAACACGGGATGCCTTGTGAACAAGGCTGCTTTTTTTAAAATCTATTAAGCTCTCCACTTTTAGGCTTGAATTTTGGATAACTCTGAAGGAATTCTCCTCATGTTTATGCATATAACTCAACATATAGCTAGCTAGCACTCATACAAAGATATAACTTTTAGACATTCTTTTCCCTATTTTCCCAACAAAAAAATAACTTATATGGAAAATGCTGTCGAGAATTAATTAAAATATATATGTCCTCTGATAATATAACTAATATGATAAAATACAATTGAAAGATCAAGACCAAAAAAAAAAAGAGAGTACCGTAGATAAATGTAAAGAAGTGCAGAAACTTGGAGCTAACAAAGGCCAAGAACAAAGAAGAATATGTGTATAATGAATTGCCTGTTGAGGTGACAACTTAGACAAGATGGCTTCTCTTCTTATATTTGCTAATTGTGCATTTAACAAATTTTTAAGAAATTCCTTTTCTAAAGTCAGCTAGTGACTAAGTCATGAATTATCATTTCCAACACGGTTTGACGTGTATGCACAAGTATTCTTCGTTTTCATGTTTTAAAAATACGTTTATGGACAAGTTGCAATTTAGTATTTTAATTATAGGTCAATAACTGTGGAAGAAATCCCTAATGCTTGTGCACGAAAATCTGAAAATCGTCCTGAATTCTTGTTTTATGCCCTAAAACGCCAAAAAAATAAGGAATGGTTATGGCGAAGTGATGACTATTGTTCATTAGGTTGTTTTTGATGGGCTCGCAAAATTTAAGAAGATTCGGGGTCAGTAGCCCGAATTCATGCAGATGGCGTGTACTATAGTACATGAAAATATGGGAATCGTCTTGAATTCCTGTTTTATGGCCCTAAAACACCAAACGAGGAACGGTCATGGTGAAGCGACGACTATTGTTTATTAGGTCGTTTTTTATGGACTCGCAAAATTTGAGATTCTGGGTGGTCGCTCGAATGTAGATGGCGTGCATTATAACACATAAAAATTTGGGAATCATCCTGAATTTCTGTTTTATGACCGTGAAATGCTAAAAACGAGGAATGGTCATGATGAAGCGATGATTTGGTTAATACCACTCACAACTAGTAGCTGATGAGGTTACTTAAGAATCACTTGTGCTATATTTCCATTCTAAAATGGAGCTTCTAGAAAATAGTAAATTTATCTAACTTGAGCAACAATAAAATGGGACTTTCGTGCTTACCAAAACTTTCAGTTTTACAATACACACTGGCAATAAAAGGTGTGAGAATATTGTGATCATTATATTCAAGAATGTGTACTTTAGTTCTTTTTTTTGTTTTAATACCACATAAAGCATGTCATCGTAATTAGAGATATTCATGGCATAATTTGTCCAAAATTAAACATCATTTTTTAGGTTTAGTCCTCATCGATCTGTTTTTAATGACGTCATGGAAAGTCCCTGATATATATTTGAGATGCACGTCCAGGGGCGGAGATACTGGCGGAAGTGGGTTTGGTCGAATCCAGTAACTTTAGTTCGAGCCTTGTATTTGTGTTAAAAATCTATTGAATAATGATGTAGCCACATACATTGAAGGGTGGTCAACTGAACACCCTTCATCAAAAAATAATATTGTATTAGAAACTTATATTGTTTATATAGGTCACAAATTATTTTTTATGCGTATATTAAATTTTGATCACCCTTCGCAAAATTATTTTTAGTCGGACGAATAGATATGTCCTGGGGCGGAGCTAGCCTTGCAGTTGCGGGTTCGACCGAACCCAGTAACTCTGGTACAAACATTGTATTTGATTGCTAATTTAGAACTCAGTACCTTAAAAAGACGAGAATTCAAACTCATAAGCTTCAAATATTGACTCTGCTTCTGGATATATCTGACCAGGGACGGACGCACGTTCAATGAAGCGGTGTCTCGAAAATTTTACTATATTAATATTGTGAGGAACGGTTAGTAAGTAGGAAAAAATGACACCACTTCGCATAGATTGTCTCCTGGCGTGTTGGTTATGTTCTTGATTGTGCTCTAAGAGGTTCGAACCTTAACTAGCATGTATTTTTTTGCAAATATCCGAACTCAGGACCTTTTCTAACTTAAGACTCAACAAAAAGAATGGAATAAGGTTATTTCTTGTATAGAAATATAATAATTAAAGCTATTTATTCTCGTTCTTCTATAAATTTCGACACCTCTTACAAAAGTTCTTGCATACGCCCTATATCGGACGGGTATATTTGTTGTTCTCCAACACCCATTGGTGATGCAAAACCATACAGCCTTAAGGATTTGAAAGATATGACCCTCTACCTTCGCTTGACGTTTGGAGATTATTCAACTGCAGAGATGATGAAGCTATTACTATTTAAAACATGGGATTTCTTTTGGCCATCTAAAATGAACTATGTTGGTCATCCAATCCAACTAGATTTTGTGTAAGTTAAACATATTTGGTTTTGTTGGATTGATCAAATGTTTGTCATCTATTTTATGGTTTTTACGATGCTATTATTATCTCTATGGTTTCTGTTGATGATGTTTCTGTGTACATTGAATTTTTGTGTCTGAATTATGTATCTGCACTTATTAGTTGTTCTCTTACAATTCTTTTTGGATAACAGATATCCGATATTCCACGCAGACAGCGTCAAGTTATGCATCAGTCGTACAATATTCGCAATGTTCTTGGAATACCTCTCATCTTAACAATAGCGGTTGGTGGCCTGGGAATCCTCTTGTTTAAGAAGCTGCAACACTGAAGCTGATTCTTCATCCTAACATTTTCGTAGAGATTTTTCACTCCGCTTGTATATGTTTGAGTGCACATTATCTTCGTATGATTATCAGTTTGTATTACTTATTGATGGTGAAACAGAGAAGTGAGTTTTGCATATGATTTTAGCCCCTTAAATGGTTGTTGTTGGAACAATATTGTGTGTTGTGCAGTCTATATGAACACTACAGCTAAGAACGATAATAAACAAAGCAAGGAAGAAAACAATGGTGGAGGTTTGACCAACAGAATCCCAACAATGATAATATCAAAGGACTCGAGAAAGATCGAAGCTTCATCGGGTTAACAAATCATTGATGACACCAATATTAATACTAATGAAAACCTTAGGTAAAATATTTCAATTACAATAATACAACAAAATTGGTAGCATTCTTTGTACAAGAATAAAGTCCAGACAGAAGAAAAAAAATTAAAAGACGAGAGGCAATTAGCCACTTTACAATGCAGTTGCGCCTAGAAAACAAGGAAATCCCCTGAATTCTGCACTAACTGTTTCTGCTAAACTTGACTTAATGCAAATCTGTGTGTAAAGTAATGGCTCTGAAAATCTTTTACGGTAAATATTGTGGTTGGGAGGTTAACCCATCTTAACAGCCAAATCAAATGTTTGATCTGTATAACTGGATAGTAAACAGGTCCGCTAAATTGTCACGCAATCTAGGTCATCTCTACTTGGAGTATCGTAAATTGTTGAAAAAATCTAACCAGCGCATATCTTCTTACCTGATGGCTTGCCATGTAAATTCCCAACCCCTATATTGGGGCATGACTCACTTTGCATACCTCAACATTGAAGCCGCAGTCCATTAAAAAGAGCAACCATGCACGTTGTTGTTCAGAAAGTCTGTCTCTGGGGCCTTTCACTTCAACAAGCTTTGCTTCACCTCTGTAGTCATCACGGAAGCGCCACAGCAACAAGTCAGGCATTCCACTAGACCAGCTCCTGTAATCTTGAGCCAAATTTCGACAGATTGACGCAAGACAAGGACCACCAATGCATGTAACAGCTGCTCGCAGCTCAGACAGGGAATGCTTGTCCCAGTTGACTCCCCTACAGGCTATTCCCACATGTGATTCCCATGACATGATAAGTAACTCTTCCGCCATGCCATGCTCAATCTTATCTAGAAGAGCTTCTATACGACTCCTTCTGACTTCATAAAAGCTGTCAGTCTCCAGATCCAAAGGTGCAGTCTGTACAAAAAAGAAACTGTTTTTCAAGATTTTCATGTAGATCAAAATGCTGAATAGCAAACCATGAAAAACAAACAGAAAAATGAAAAATTTAACAATTCAGAAATATTCTTTTCCAAATAGTTTGAACATTGATTATAGATCCAAAATAATCTTCTACCTTACACTGTTACCTTCTAAGTGTCTAGCAAGACCCCCTCCACAGGAAATCGTTTATTAAAGAAAAGAAAGTAAACAACCACCATCACTCAATAAAGGGGATTGAGTTAACTTAGAAGGAACCTAGTATAAGAGGATGAAATTCAGGCAGAACATGAGAATCGTAATCATAAACTTTTGAATTGCACATTAGCTATGAAGTTATGCATATTGTTTCTTTAACCATTAAGCATAGCTAGTTTTAGCAACGTAACAGCGAATCATGTAGTGCAACTGAATTATCAAAAGAGTTACCAGCACAAATATTTAGCAAGAAAATTCTGATAACAGAAATCCCACCTACACTCAAGTCTATGGAAACATCAAGCAGATAATACCTGAAATTTGGTGCGGAAGACATTTGGCACATCAGCAAATACAACATCCCACATTAGAAGCCCGAACATAGTCAACCAAATCCCACTCTCAGTGTGAACACCCTGCCAGCTTCCTCCTTCTCCAGCATAATACTGTAGAGCAAGCTCTTCTACTCCACAGCGGTCTCCATCCTCACCATAAAAGACATTCTTCACCCCTGTTTTGCAGTTCAATGGTCTGCCCTGAACATGAACCTAAATAATCATCAAGAAACAGGATTAATCTGAAACTGTGTATCATATCTCAAGAAAGTGAGAAGTGCAAAAAGGGTCCATCAGAGAATTTTATAAAAGACAGAACGAATTACCTCAACTATCTTCCTTTTGACAGAACTCGAAAAACTGGGAGTTTTCCAACGTCTAGGGGGCTTCCCCAACCGCAGAACGCGCCTTTGCAGAGCCACTCTAGAGCCAGCACGAACCCAAGGATCTAGCAACCCCTTTTCAGCTACTTCAAGACTCTCATCAAGGCACCCAACATGCTCCAAATCAATTGAGAGCCTCAGATTCCAATATCCCCTTCTTCGATCACATTTACATTTTTCTAGCAGCAGCTTAAGCAAATTGATTGCTTCTTTATACCTGAAAAGTAGACCCAGTGAGATTCTAAATACACCAGAAACTTCACCTAGAACAGTATCACCACTGTTACAAGAAAACATCCAACGTAGAGTGTACATCCTCCTGGCTCTGTTCCCATTTATTGTCATAGCATGAACTGGCACACTGTTCAAGAATTGTATAAGAGGCTTATATACAATATAAATAAGTCCACATTTAAGATCAGCTGACAGGTCATTACCCAATTGATTTCAGCAGCCTAATTAGCCCCTGCCAGATCATCAACAAGTTATTTTACTAGCCCTCAGACAATTTTTAGTGGAAACACTCGGATCAAATATGAAAAAAACGACCCAAAAAAATGCTATTAAATAGCTCATAGCAGTGACTAGCAACAGCCTTGGTGTCTACTACATGCACAAAGGGGACTACATCACTCTTTAGCAAGAACTGCTGTCAATTTAAATTTAACCAAATCCCCCGAGGTATAGAAAACATTGCAAAAGTTGGGAGCACTTAAAGCACTTTTAATTGATCCAGTTGAAGCCTTTGCAACACAGCACTGCTCCCTGCCTTTGCAGGAGAAATGGAAGACAACCCAGAGATTTGGGGGGGGGGGGAGGTAGTCTTTGTAAACTTCACTATAGAACTCCCCCACCTTTTTGTATTATGCATCTGAACAAGCAAAATACTAGTTTCCTTCTATAATCTTGTCATTCCTCTAGAAAAAAAGGAGCTTTTCTATTTCAGAAAAGGCCCTCTCGCCTGGTGGTGTGCAACCTCATTTCCGAGAATCATTTCATACCCATTAAGTTACTTTAGCTATATAATGTGGAAGTTTTCTTCCTTGTTGATCCTGAAATATCTCAATTAAAACTTAAGGTTTCTAGGGGTCGAGGGGATGAAGCTGATTTCTAAAATAAGCTGTGATTAAATCTGTTGCAAGTTCATAAAATGTAAGATCATTAGAGAATAACCTTTAACCAGCATGTTGAATCTCCTCACCTCTGTTCATGCTCCAGGAAAGAAACACCCAACAGGATCACCTTAGAATACACCCAACTGGCTGAAAAGCGAGATAAAAATGCAGCCATTGACCCAGAATGAGCTGATCTATCTTTCTCCACAAAGCTAGATACGTTAGAGGCAGAGATCTCTATGCATCTTGATACCAACTCATTGTTGTTCTCATCAAGAGACTCATCCATAATTTGTGCAACCTCAATGGCCTAAGGGAATTAATTTAAAATAAAATAAGGGGGGAAAGAAAATAGATAAGTAATAAGGGAAAAAAGTATCTTTTCACAAGAGTTAAGCATACCTCTTCATAAGACAATAGGTCACTTCTGTCTGGAAAAATTTGGTCTGTGAATATGCAGTTGTAAGCAGGATATTTCACAATGCCCAAGTCAACAAGTAAAAATTCTGACAGGTCCTGCTCTCCATTCAGGAAAAATAGCCTCTGAAGGAATCCAAAGTTAAAAGAGCACATGTCAGACAAACAATCTTTATATAGAGTATAGACTCAATAGAGGCTAGACGACATAAAAGAATTTTCCCAAAAATCACCTCGGCACGCCAAAAGACAGATTCAGCTGATGCAGATATCCGGATGCATCTTCCAGTTTTCCCTAGAATCATGTTTGTAAGGTTGGGGCTGCATTGGTGACATTTTGAAGCAATCACATGAAAGAGTATTAAAATGTGGTACAAAGTGACAACCAAGGAATAAATAATTTAAAAACTACCTACCATAAACCACCTTGATATGCAGCAAGAACCCGAGTAATGTAATCTTGCTTTCTAGTACCACGATCAGAGTTCTGGGCAATCTTCTTATGTGTCTGAGCTAAATTGCAAATCAAAACACAATTGTAAGAAAGATAAATGCAACTCAAAAATAGAAAATCAAAGGGCCATTATCATTGAACATGGAAGTTCCACAAACTAACAACAACAACAACAACAACTACCCAGTATAGTCCCACAAAGTGGGGTCTGGGGAGGGTAATATGTAGACAGGCCCTACCCCTACCCGAAAAGGCAGAGAGGCTGTTTCCAATCGACCCTCGGCTCAGGGAAGGAAAGGAAAAACAAAAACAAAAACAAAAGAGCATTAGTAACTCCAGCAGAAATCGCGTAATAATTATCTAAACATAAGAACCATAAATAAAATGGAATGCAATAATATCAAACAGTAACTACCATAAATAACTACCATAATAATTTACTTCCGACACACATAAGATAAGTTACCCTAAGCTTCCACGAGGTACTGATCTGACTACAACTAACTTTTCAACAAAAGGTTTCGAGGAGAAAACATTTACAGCAGTTAATCAATGAGAACTCCTCCGAAAAGCAACTACTAAAAACTTACAGCTGTCAAATTGCCTGCAGAGCAGCTATCATGACAGCAGGTGGAGAAGCAGAATGGATCATTCTTTTTCTATATCACCTTAAATGGAACTACTTATTCATGTCATTTGACCTTATTCTTCACATTTCCATCAATAGCACAAAGCCAATTACTGGTCTTTCCTTATCTCTCTACCTTGTGCTAAGCAAGCTTAGTCACACAGAAAATAAAAATTGAACATATATCCCAAGAAGAACTGAAGGCAAGCACAAGCATTACAAGGACATGAAAGCACCACATATCCCCTTTTACAAGAGATAAAGATAAGTTCCTACTTCCTAGTGCACAGATTGAATCTTAATTTAGTTTATTTAACTAACACGATGTATATTTCCAAAACAAGCAAAAAATCTGATTTTCCACACTCTAACATAATGCATGTAAAGAAACAAATGAGAAAAATTGTAAACATGACCCAAATGACCTTAATGCTAAGAATTGTATGGCCCGTATCTGTCCACACAGTATCCTGTTTCTGTGTTGTCATCAGAAGCCAATCTCATTTTTGGAGCATTAACTATGGCATCAATCAAACTTAGAAAGAACCATCCATAATGCTCCAAACATTTCATAATCCTAAAGAGAGTTTTTTTTTATTTTAGCTCACAAGAGTCTGAGAGGAAGAAATGTAAAATGATCTTGCAAGTACATTGGCGAAATCAAAATTTTCATTTTGCTATATCTTCTAATCCAACTAGGTCATGGGCAATATTCATCAAGCCACGTACAGAGTAAACTAAACATACATCTCACAATTTGATGATGAAAGTCAAACCTAACTACCAAAAGAAGAATGAAATGATATCAAGAGAAGCCTTGAAGTAGGGAAAGATTATTTTACGAGTACATATAAGCATGAGTTAATATGTCGTAGAATTAAAGAGATATTGCAATAATTTTCACATGCATTCTATTACAAATTATCCTCTCACATATTTGGTCTCAAACACTATTCTACCAGTTCCCAGCCTTGTTAACTGACCAACTTTCAACCCGCAAAGTTTGTGTCACCTGGTTAAGAGTAATTTATTCCAATACAAGCAAACTGCACACTCTATATTCCACCATGTACTAGAAAAAGTTTCCATCATATACTTCTAACTTCTTTTGCCTTTGAGATTTTCTTGCCTTGTTACCCGGAGAAGTTGGCTCTCAAGGTCGGGGACAAGTCAAGCTATCATTCTTTAACAACAGTATGGTTAACAAAGAATATAATCATGAGGCCCTCAACTCACCAAAGAACTATTACAACTGGTGAGGCATCCCATAATAAATCATACCATTAAGTGTTTTGAGGATCTTTCTAAATTGATGACATCCTGCCAATCTATTCGCATAAACGACTAAAATCAAACAGAAAATGAGAAAGCAAATTGGAATATTGTTTAGTCTCAGCCAGAAATATCAACCCAGCAGAAGAGAATTATATGTTTTCATACATGACATCCTATCAAGTAGATCGCATGTCTTCACCATAGTACATCCACTGGCAATTATAAAACTTCAAATATAAGCAGATACATAATTCAAGTGGCACACTTAAAAAACAAATAAATATGAACCTTGTTAAGACTAGAGATAAGGTCCCGTAGTTCACCAACATTGAGAACATTCAAAACCTCCTTTAAGTCATTAATTTGTAGTATATTCATTGATTCGATTAAAGTAACACATTCTGCTTCTGCAAAATAACAAGGATGAGTTGGAAGATGTTGCATTCAGCTTCCCTTAAAGCAAGACTATATAAAATTTACCACAACATTATAAAATCTGTCTACCAGAAAGCCCCTTAACAGCTTCTTCATAATCACATATTTCGGCATATGATATGCTAGCCATCCGAAACCATGGGCCTAAGGTAAAAAAAAAAGGAACTTAATAAGAACAAGAAACTTCTTGAATTATCTAGCAATGGACCATCAACTTTTCAAGTATTCACAAAAAAATCTAAAACACAATATTACAGGCATTAGGCTGTACAAATTAAATGTGCTTGGAACCACACCCTTCTAGTGCAATTCCCAATAGCAGTTGAATTATCAGTCAAGCAGGGCAGGTGATGTAACATTAAGTAGAAGAAGCCTACTCATTATTACCGTGATCAAATCTATTTACGTTTTTGTGTGGATAAGTTAGTACCACGTTCACATTTGGAAAACAGCACACCTTTAAGACAAGTCTGAGAATTGCAATAAGCGACAGTATCACACGTGTTACTCAGCTTTAAGCTAATCACCTAAAGGAGCTATTAGTTATCACTGTAACTGTGATCCTAAAAATGTTAAAATATTTTCAGCACAGCAGTATATGGGTGAAGTGACCCTAATATATCATACCAAAGCTGCACCTAACAACAATTTCATCTAGGCTGAAAATTCTATGATACTTGAGGTTATTAAAACAGCAGCAAAACATGACAACTGATGTAGAAGCATTTTTCCAGTAATATAAAAGCAAAGACATTGGATCTCTGTAAACCGTTATCCTTGACTAGCTTAAAAATAAGAATTGATTTTCCCTCCCTTCAAAGATATGGCATACTTTTCTGAGAGATAACTTATCTATTCACAGCATGAAAAATAAACTTGCAGGTAGAATTTATATAATATCCTACTTCTGATTCAAGAAAATTGACTCTCATGAGTGGGTTCAGATAACTGAGGTGCACTGCAAGAAAAACACAGTTGAAATCTACAATTTCAGNAAGCATTTTTTCAGTAATATAAAAGTAAAGACATTGGATCTCTGTAAACCGTTATCCTTGACTAGCTTAAAAATAAGAATTGATTCTCCCTCCCTTCAAAGATATGGCATACTTTTCTGAGAGATAACTTAACTATGCAGTACATGAAAAAATAAACTTGCAGGTAGAATTTATATAATATCCCACTTCTAATTCAAGAAAATTAACTCTCATGAGAGGGTTCAGATAGCTGAGGTGCACTGCGAGAAAAACACAGTTGAAATCTATAATTTCACAAACTAATCCAATCCAAATAGAGAAATTCAATGATAATATGTTTGATGAGTAAAAGCATTAAGCAATAATTTAGAGGATGAACCACATTAAATGTCAAAAGCTTGGTGACAATTAAGGAAAGCTCCTAAAAACCAGTAATATATCCTTTTCATGCAGAATACTCTATATTTAGCATAGACCACAAACCAAATTTTATTTGGAAATCAGCAATTTGTATCCAATAAGACTGACAACGCTAACTAATAGCATTACAGTATTGTCCTGCATCTTTACACGTGGGTGTATCCTGCTCATTTCAAGAATCAACTATGGGTCTGTAGCAGTCAGGAAAAGGTAGTGCCTGAGCAATAATGATATCATGAAAATAGCAACTAGCAGCATCCAAGGATGTGTCTAGTGGTAGATGAAGCTAGGTTGAAGACTAAAGGACCAAGGTTCAACTTTTAGTAGAGGCAAAATGTTAGGTGATTTTTTCTCAGCCGTTTAAGCTTTGGTAGCAAAACTACCCGATATCTATACTGACAGGAGAATGTGGGGAGCCGGAAGAATAGCCGAGGTAGGCTGGTGGCACACCAATTTTATCGTGAAAAGAAAAAAAAATAAGACCAGCAAGAAGTCATTTCCAATAACTCAGAAAGCACCACAGAATATAACATTTCAATGTTCCAGACATTGAAAGGTCTTATGACTAATTAAATGAGGAGCATATCTGAATTCCATAAATAAAGCAAGGCTTCTTACTCCATCATCTTTAGAAAGAGGCAAACCCAAGCAAAAGTGGATAATTTTCAGTCTTTAACTCTTGAATGTAAAAAGTGCAAGCCAAAAGAGCGGAGTATTAAAAGCGACCACCTTTACGTGCATAAAGCCGAGCAAAGAGCCTTTGACTGTCATCTGAGAGTGATAAAAAAGCTTCTGTACCAAAAGAGAAACAAAAGAAAGTTATATATGCAAATTTATCAAAGATTAACTGGGATGATCCAAGTTTGAAGATCCTACCCAATAATGTTTTCTCGCCTTCAGTAAAAAGATGTCCATTGATATTCAAAACCTCTTTCAGTAAAAGTAGAAGGTTATGCTGGTATTTTGCAGGGATAGGAGAGTGAGTCTTGGAAAATTCAGCAGCCGATAGAGCATTTCTCCGTAAGGAATTGAATACTTGGAGACTAGAGGAGTCCTTTTCGCCAAAAGACACGATGCCAGAGGAATAGATCTGAATTGGCACAACTGCATGAGGATGCTGCGGAATGGAAGTTATATGGCCCTGAATCCATGTAAGCTAGTGATCAGTCCATATGGAAGAGATACTGAAAAGAAAAATGGCAAGGAATGATTTTCTTAATTCGTTAATGCAAATTCGGTTTCATATAAGATTCCTTGCACTCGGAGGTTATTGAACACACTTTAATAAGTCCAATGACTCACTAGCAAATAAATGTGGTAGATTCTGTAGTAGATTGATAAACACTTAATATTTTCTTTTACTTGAAGTTAGCTTTATGTTAGAATTAGATGGTTTTCAAGTCCAAATCTGTGTACTGCTACAGATGGATTCAAAACACTTATTCCACATTAACTGGCATTTGCTCATATTCTGCATGGCTCAAAATCTATAGGTCTGATGTCAATTATTCTACATCAGTCTTTTCTAGAGGTTTTTGTTTTTCCTCCTCTTCATGTGGTCTTAGACATTTTACGTATAATGTAAACTAGAGAAAATAAGTAGAAAAATCTTTTTAAATTAATTATAAACGACATGAAGACGGACCTTATACAGGAGCTTAAGTTACATGAAAAAAGAAAGTATCCTGATTAACCAAATTCATACACAAAATTGTGACGCACTGTTAATTTAACATTAAAATGTTTATGCGTGCTCTCCTAGCTACATGTTTAATTTATTATTATGGGTGACTGGTGGTGATGGACTATGTATTCGGTGCAAAAATGTGAGGATCTGCTGCAATAGCGTATTCCAGTGTGGGATTTGGTCAGGTGAAGTTTGGAAACAAAGCTGTAAAGGTCACTCAGGACCTGGTGCGTGCAGTCAAGCCCTTACCTCAACCACACACACTTCAGTTACATACATGGGACCAGAGTCCAGACCATGTTGAACAGTCGCACATCTGGTGCTTCAACCATATGCCCTTCTGTCCAAACCCTCTAAAGTTTGGAATTCTCTGCTAAGTTAGAAGTTTGAACTGAAGTGCAATCGCACATCAAGGGTTTTAATCTTACGCCCTTTAATTCAAATGCTCTGAAGTTTTGAACCAGACAGAAACTAAAGGAAGTTCGGCCGCACTTCCTTCCCAACCGCATGCACTTCACAGCTCACTGCCTGGCAAAATGAACAGAAGCATGACCAAACTTTCCAAGAAAGGGCAACCACACCACAGTTCCAAAAAGTTCGATGTAAAATGCTAGCACCTATAAATAGACCCTGGCTCGTAAATTTATTCACTTTTCATTCTTCCACAAGCCAAACCACCTACAACAGGATTTTCACCTCCAACTTTCATCCATATTAAGGCATGTAATCCGTTATTTTTTTTACTAAACCCAACAATTTCAAGCATGTCAATGTTATAGATAATCTTAACCGTTAAATCAAGATCTAATGGTCGGATTTCTCATTCTTACCCACTCCCCCAATAACCTAAGTTGAGATATTTTGGTCATTCATTTACCAGAGATGGAGAAAGCAAGTGCTTCGTCGCTTAAAGCGAGAAGTGAAGCGACAAGGTCAGCACTTCAAGGGTGTAAGGCAAAGTGTCATCAGCGAAACGATCGCTTCTTGGATAGAAGCGTAAAGCGATAAAGAAGCAATGAGATCGCTTCTTTAAAAAGTGGTCAGCAGTTCAAGGATGTGGTGCTTGGTTTCTTTGCTACTAGGGTTTTCATAGGGGGATGGCCAAAAAATTTCCCTTTCTTTATTTTCACTGCTCCTGACAGCATTTTTTTTTTTTTATAAGCATGGTATCTAGGACAGCTTGCGCGCACCTCGACTAGTTCCATAGGATACCTACTACCTCCCACCAGCACCAGGTACCAGGTAACTCTATCTTGAGCCTGAGACGTCAAGTTCTCAACTCACTTCATTGACCATTAGGCCATACCCTTATGTTGGTAGCTAATTAAAAAAATCGTGTTTTCCTTTTTAACTATTTCTCTCTTTTTTTTCCATGTGTTGGATTTAGCTGCTCAACCTTCTATTTTAAATTATTACTAATTGCTTATAAATTGATAACTGACTCCTTCCTTTTTTATCCATTTTTTAATATGAAGAACAGGATGCCCTATGGAGGACTTTAGTCTATATACTTTTTAGTTTTTAAATTGAAACATTTGTTTTTATATATTTGTTGAGCTCTCTTTTATTTAGTGCAAGGTTTATTTAGGCTTTCTTTAAAAACTATGCTTGCTTCACGCTTTAAGCAAAGCAAGGCCTGGTCGCTTTTTCTCGCTTCACGCTCTCAAAATCATCGTCATTTACTTTTGGCTTATGGGTAACGACTAGTTAGCTTATAGGGTAATGTAGAGATGATTGGAGTGGTCGAAATTGTTTGAGGCGAACCAAGGATTTACCTTAAGTCTTGCACGAGGGGCTGCGGCCTGGCTGGCAGAGAGCCAAACACAACAGCAACAACATACCCAGTAAAATCCCACTAGTGGGGTCTGGAGAGAATGGAGTGTACGCAGACCTTACCCCTACCCCGAAAAGGGTAGAGAGGCTGTTTTCGGGAGATTCTCGACTCAACATGAGAGACAATAGTATCAGAAAAGAAATAAGAGAAAAGGCATGTAACAACAAAAGATGCCAGAAAGAAAATAACAACAACGAATAAGTGAAAGGACAATAGCACAAAACTATGCAAAACAACAATGTAAACACACCAAAGAGGGCCTAACACCAAAGTTTGAAATTACTATGGTCCAGAAATGACATTGTATTACCCTAATCTATGTCAACAAGTGCTAAGAACCATCACAGTTTACAAGTAGACTATGGCATTAGTAGTATCAAGAATTGAGGCTAATTAAAGAAAAACTGGTTAGTTCAATCTTGCAGCAGTAGTAGAACTGTAGGAAAGAAGAAAATGAAGTGGTAGAGACAGAAGAGAGAAAAAAGTAGTTGTGGAGATTAAAATCCTTGGCATGAATCAATATCTAAAGCAGTATTTATTCATATTTACCAAAAGAAACATGGTACCTCCTATTAGTGGATTGAGAAACCAAGAAGGATAACATGGAAATAAAGATAGATTGCTTGGGCTTGTAAATTGAAGCCCTTGGTTGATGTACACTGTGACTATCTGCCTTCCTTTTTCTTCAATAAGTCCTATGACCATCAAATCTTCACCTTTGTAAACCTTAGGTGCCATTTACATATCTTTTTTGGAGAAAATTTTAAGATAAGTATTTTTGAGAAAACTTTGTGCAAAACAAATAAAAGCATGCTTGGATAACAGTAGTTCTTTATTATAAGTTTTATAAGTGCTTTGTAAGTAAAAACAAAAATTTCTCCATAGACTTTCTACTTTTTAACCAAAATAATTCTGAAGATATTTTGGAAAAAACTAAATCAAACATCGATTCATGTTACTTGATCATCAAAATTATTGTACTGAATATGCTTCTTTTATAAATACATTAACAAGAAAGGCCAACCTAAGTTGAACTTGCAAAGGAAATGGAAAACTTAGCATGACCACAAAATGTATTATATTGATTACCTCAAACCTCAGGTGGAACTTGTCTATCAATGGAGATAAATACTGTGCCAATTCCCTGGGGATGTAACCTAGCTCTTTATTGTGATCAGTATCTTTAGTTAGAACCTGACAGAAACATACATGCAATGTTTTTTAAACATGCTTCAGATTACAAACTTACCAATTCAAGGTAACCATAGTAAGGGCAAAACCTTGATTGCATTCTGGTCCCTGACATTCTCGGGATCTCTTGCAAGCATTATCATTGCTCCAACAGTTAACTCTCCGTCATTACTAAACCTACGGCCAACAATGAATGTATCAAGCAAAATCTCAGAGTTATCATCATCTTCCGAAGGTTCCACACATTTCGGCATCCTTTTTTCAGAAAGTGATAAAGGTGAGTCTGCGATGTTGTCAATTCTATCTTCACTTATTTGGTGTTGAGGAGAACCCTCTAGCCCAAAAATTTGCATTGTCTTTGCATCGGGCAGAAGTTTGCGTTCATCATCCAGCTTGATGAGACCATCTAAGTTTTCCATTCGATTAACCCTATTACAAACACTACTCTTGGATTCCTCTTGGATATCATTTTCGGGACCATCTGAGCTGTTCATTTCCGAAGCCAGGTCACATATATTTTTTGAGAAGGTAACAGAAGCAAGGTCACAGATATTACCATCATCAGTACTTGGACCAACGTCAATCCTTGTAACGTCCGACTCGATGGATGAGACTGTAACTTTAGGTCTTGTGCAAAAGTTCAACTGGAAAAGGGTGCATTGGCTCAATTTGCGTTTACTTCCTCTAGCAAGGCATTTATCTAAAAAATCACATTCCATTGTAAGTTTTCACACAGCTCAAGTCAAAAGAATAAAAGGAGAGATCATATTAGAAAGGAAAGCATGAAGTTGTTAATAAAGCAGCCACAAAAATAGGTGTTTTTTAGACTTGGCAAAAGGATAGGCATAAGCAAGAGGGCTACATTTCATGGCTCTTTCTGCAATTGAATTTTACCTTGCAAAACTGGGTCTTATGACTACCGGATACTAAAGAATTAGTTGTCTAGTGGCTATGTCAAATTGTTAAATTCACATGATGCTTAAGTACAGGAAAAGAAAAAGGTATTTCTGTTAATCTATATGTTCTTTTCTTGATATATTTTTCTTTTTGTGATACCAACCCACAAAGGGTGTCAACAATTGCAAAATGAATTTTACAATTTTGAAAGCAAGAAAATTTTCACTGGCTTATGTTCCACATAGAATTAGTAGCAATTTCTTTACCATCCTAATTCAACTCATAAACATTCGGCAAATAAGTCCACAATTGACAAATGGTAATCTGAGAAATTTAAAACTTCAAATAAGCAGATCCAAGATTTAAACTTTATGGGTTCGAGTTCAAAATTCCCTTTTTTTAATGATGTAGTGGACTTACATTCACCAGCATCAAGAAGGTGCATAACAAAAGTTCGAGTTCGAAAGTCTACTGGGTTCAAAATCTATCATTCGTGCTTATTTAGTATATTTATGACACATATAGGGTCTGAACCTAGACAAAGTGGGTTGCTCTAATGGTAAGCACCCTCCACTTCCAACCAAGAGGTTGTGAGGTCGAGTCACCCCAAGACCAAGGTGGTGAGTTCTTGGAGGTAAGGATATCGGGGGTCTATTGGAAACAGCCTCTCTACCCAGAGTAGGGGTAAGGTCTGCGTACACACTAACCTCCCCAGACCCCAGTGGTGGGATTATACCGTGTTGTTGTTGTTGTTGTTGTTGTTGTTGTTGTTGTTGTTGTATATAGGGTCTGAACCAAATACACTAAATCCACACCTGACCTCCTCCAGCAACTTAAACATTTTTCAATACAAAGCACGATTCTAATGCACATAAAACATAAAGATTACTACACTTACTCTACTATCAAGCTACATATGGACGAAAGTATCCTAAAATGCTCAACAAATATCCAAGTATTAGCATCCAAATCAGAAGGAACTCTACATAATCTTAAAGTAAAAATGCACCTAAATGAGAGTTAACCACGCGATCTTCGCCTCGAATCTTCTTCCCACAAACAGGACAATCAACCCATTCTTCTTCATCAACATTTCCATTTCCAGTGCTTACCTCATCCTTATATTCCTTACAGCCAATCTGAAAATCCTCGAATTAAATTATTTTTCGATTTAAGTAAACTGCAAAACAATTAAAGGAATTAAATTAATAGTGAATTATACCTGATGCTGAGGAGCGGATGAAGTGAGAAGAGAGTGACGGCGACGGAGAAATCGCCGGCGCCGACCAACCAATCGGATTAAACTTTCCCGCCCTTTCAGCATCGTAGGGGAAAACCCTAATAATATGTATCAAAAACTTTCGCTATTTGAGGGGGGAAACTTATACGTACCTCGTATAAAAATATACGAGTTATGTGTTTTTAAAATTTTGGTTGTAGGTTTAGAGTAGTCCCTTAAGTATCACCTGAACAGTTTTGGTCATTTAACTTTATCAAATTTGAGCACTTTTGGTCTTTGTCAGCTATTTATCATACTCGAATTGTTAAATTTAGCTGAAAATCTGAAAACGAAAAATAGTAAAAGGTTATCTCATTCGAAAGTGCAATTTTGTAGTTTTCGGTTTTTTTTTAATCCATAAGTCTAATGCAGCTTGAGGTATAATTTTTTGTGCTTGGTGTAGTTTTTTGTGCAGCAATTTGTGGAATTTTTATGGAACTTTGTTGGCGAAATCTTATTGCTAGTACATTTTAAATTTAACAATCATATTGTGATAAATATCTAATGGAGATCAAGTTGCTCATTTTTCAAAAGCTTTAAAAACCAAACCCCTCACCGTGAATCAAGTTGTATATTTTATAAACTAGATACTAGTACTAGTAGATATTGGACATTTTCAATAAAAAAGTAATAGGGATAGATAAAAAACACAGAATAAAAATTTGAAGTTTGTTTATCAATTAACATTGAGAATCCCCGAAATTATTTTTTTCTTTATGAAAATGTCAATGAATCCACTATTGGTGTTGATCCCGTTCAATACGCACGCAACATTAGACTTAAACCCCGCCATTTACTTAAACCCGCACCGCCACCCACCCCATCGCTCCATATGAAGTTTGTGCTTTAAAGTTATGATATTGCCAGAATTCGGTTAAACATGCATTACCTATGTGGGGATTAACCTTTTCTGATCTCTCCAATCAAAAATTGATTATCTTATGCAAAGTTTATCATGAGGTTAATTCTCCTAGTCCTTTTAACAAAACAGCCCCTTAGTCATAAGGTTTAGAAAAAAATGTTCTGAAGTTGTGATGCTGCAGTAATCTGCTTTTGAGTGTTTATCAATAATTTTTTCAACGTTCTAAAATATATTTTGGATAAATATCAGTAACCTAAAATCTAATTGGACCAAGTGATGTGATATATGCAAACATATGAATAACATGAGTAAAATCCAACTACATATATAACAATCAAATGATTAATTCATAATATTATAATTCATGTATCACGATGTCTATAGAATTTGATGATAAGAAATCATATTTCAAGCTGGAATGCTGGATAGATGTTGATGCATGTGCAAGGGAACAAACAAATGAATTAAGAGGATACAGAGAGGGGAGTTGATTGCAACAATGAGAAAAAACAAGGTGATGCCAATGACATAAACACCGGTAAATAAGTTAAAACATCCAAAAAAATTTAGTGGAGCTACAGCAAAGTTCCTTTCCACCAAATATAATTGTTCCATTCTGATACAATTACCAAAATTTTCTCTACTAGAAGGTACTACACGAGGAGAACTGCATTGATACAACCGTCATTTTCAGGATTATTAGTCACTTGAGCATATTTACCTGGCATTCAACCATCCAATAAAATGAATCATCAGAATTTAAAGGACAAAAGAATCCGGGAAGTGTAACATCTAAGTAAAGCATCGCTTACCCCATACAACTTTCCCAGCAGGAGTGACAAGACCCAGTTCACTGACATTAACCTGGATTATATAGCAAGACATTTAGCGATTCAAGCTAAACTAGATAAACTTGGGTGCAGTGTTGAAAAGGGAAGATTACCTCAATAATGGTTCCTTTGGTTATAACACCTAGTGAAGTATACATTGGACCATTCGGATTCTTCTTCACCCCGATGATCTCAAGGTTGAATGTGCATTTAAGTTCAGGGTGTGTCACATGGGCTTTAGTGAACCGTAAGCCTGACGGGCGGATGAACCGCTCATACTTTGGAGGTTTCCTGGTAAACCCTGCTCCGACAAAGGTGGCTTTTGTAACCATTCTCTTCCACTGCTTTGCTGCAAAGATGAGCACAAATCAAAGTGGTCAACAAGTCACTCTTATCCCAAAGACAACAAATAAAGCAACAAAGGACAAGTGCAAGGAGATGAAATCAAGAACCTGGACATGGCTAAGAGCCTGTAAATACAGGCTAACCAACAGAAAACGAAATTAGGATTGTAGAATACTTACTCTTCCTTTTGCCAGATCTTATCACTCTGAACATCTCATCCTCAGCCACAGGTCTAACCTGTAAGGTAAAGTATCTTATTAGAAAGCAAATTAAGTAAACAAAAGATCACGGACATTTACCCACAAAAGGAATTAAAGTGCTGCTCATATGCAATGGGAGATGGTAACCTTTTGTGCGCCATCTATTTTCAGTGGAAGCACAGTATACTTATTTAAGAAAACAAATAAGAATCATTGCTCTAGCTAAACGAATTCTATGTGGGACGAAAAATTCACAACTGCAGTTGAAAGAGAGCAAACTGAAGTATGAAGTATCTCTATTTGTGACCAGTCAAACAAAGAGAGACAGAGAGACGTCAATATTTCAGAATTGACGGACCATTCAATTGCACAGGAACACAATTAGAAAGAAATATGAACACACCGGACAAGGGTGAAAACCATACAGAGACAGTATAGGACGAGTAACTTAAAGACGAGAACAAAATTACTTTACCTTAGGCAAAGGCACCTCCCATTTTCCAGCTTTCTCTTTCCGCTTTTGCTTTATTGTGTTGCTAAGAATCTACACAGAAGGTTTAACATTTAAAATCAGTATGAACAGTCTATGTTTATATTACCACCACTTAAGCAAAAAGACAAGAAGTTCACTGCTGCATTGCGCTCAACATACCTTGGCTCTTGTGGTTGTTTCACGATCCATCAGATATGCAGGGACAGCACCGTCATGCACATCATCGTCAACCTTGCGACGACTCGATGACTCTTCATGCATAGCTAATCTATTCAAAGAAAGAAAAGCTGTTAACTGGATAAATTTCAGAAACTCTGCTACAAAGTTACCATCCTTTGTTTCATTAATAAACTGGTGCATGCTTCAGTGTCTTGGAAATCATCACATCATGTGTCTCACCCATAAGGACCAAATAAGCACCAAGTATCACATAAATGTTTTTAAAAAGTTAGCCTCACCATAAATAGCATCATTCATAGAATGCAGCAAGCCAGCAACTAGTCCAAAAATATGGAGATGTTACCTCGATGTAAGAGGCCGAAAGTATCTTTTCTTTTTATCTTTTAATATAACCTGAATTTTGTACCGAGGCATACTATTCACTAGTTTAATTATTTACCACATAATCCAGAATCTCAGTGATATTGAAAATAACCTTATTAGAAGACAGAAGTCATACAATTATTTCAACAGACAACTGCTAAATGTAAAAGAAACTAGGTTTGACATGTTAATAACCTTGGCATGGAAACAGTTAGTTAGAGGATTCAACCTCTTCCCTCCCTCCTCCCT